CTTCCGGGTTCGCCGACCAACCAGTTCGCAGGGACCGCCGCAAACCGGTTGAAACCCACCCCTGATATATAGGTACCACTGCAGTGGGAAAGTAACAGTGCTCGAGATATCATCCTAGCCACATTACCACGGAAATGTCTTCAGACAGTGCAGGCTCAATGACCTTGAAATGGAAATGAGCACTGTCCCCTATAATCAGCAATTACTAGCAGAGTAAAATCCACAGAGACTTCTTTTACTTTTTATTTCCCATAATGGGCAATTGGAGATCACCAAGCAGAACACGAGGGCATCAGTCTTATTGTCACCCAGCAATTGATATTCAGAGAAATGGTGACTCTGATCTGGCCAATCCTGTAAGGCCATCCACATTTACTGTTGCAACAAGATTGTTTGTATGACACAAATTACCTAAATTGGATCGATTTGAATATAAATCTGGAGAAGAAAAAATGTTTTAAAAAAATCAAAAAATAATGGGTCTCATAGCTGGCTACGTTGTTGAATGGTAAATTTTCCTTGGCATGACATTAAACACTCTGTACATTTCCCCATTTGTTGGACAAAGGTTTCCAGATTCCCATACAAACATGGTGTCAACTTTGAATCGAACCTGGCGGAAGCCATTTTTCTATTCCTCAGTTTCTACACAAAGTGGGGAAGGGAAAGGAGGATGAAATGCATGGCCAGTCAAAATACAGAGTTTTCTCGTGAGAACCAAGGTCATCTCTACAGAATAGAATAGAATAGAATAGAATAGAATAGAATAGAATAGAATTCTTTATTAGCCAAGTGTGATTGGACACACAAGGAATTTGTCTTTGATGCATATGCTCTCAAGTGTACATAAAAAGACAAGATACAGGTGCTGGATAGAGCCGGGGAGGAATATCTGAAGAGCTTGCCAATTAATCTAATTGGCCAATGTGACCTGTAACTTTTGGGGAGGGAGTTATTTCCTATTTTAATTATACTAAAACCGTGGGAAATATTTACAGTAGAGTTTGTTTTGCATTTGATTGTGCCGATATGATGTATCCAATAAAGAAGTTCTTTAAGGCAGACCTTAGCCTCAGAGTTCTGATTTGCTTGGGTTTTTTAGTCAGAACCATGACACATGGTTCTTCAGCAGGAATTCTTAGAGCACAGGTGTAGGTCATCCAAAGGGCACCATATTGCGGAAAACTTCCATAATAAATAATAATATCTCAGCAGTGGCCAGCCATTTGAACAAATTGCTATCAATGACTATGTAATAAACATAACCGGAGAACAGAATATCCCTCCTATAGGTTTCCATGAGTCGATACGGTATAAAGGCTTGGTTTCATACACTTTGTCAAATAACTTGCATGAACTTTGCCTAATAAACTTTCAACTCCTCCCTTCGGGACACCTCAACAGAGCATCACATGCGAAAGCAACAGAGACAGTTTTTTCCCCTCTTGCCATAACTCTACTGAACTCTTTACTCCCATGGTACTGTCTTATGATGAAGTATATTTACCCATATAGGATAGTTGTATTGCTTTTATCCTTCTCATCTGTTCCACTACCTTCTCTTTTGATATCACTATTAGCATTAGCAATAGCGCTTAGACTTATGTACCACTTCATAGTGCTTTTCGGCCCTCTCTAAGCAGTTTACAGAGTCAGCATTTTGCCCCCAATATGATGGGTCCTCACTTTATCCACTTCGGAAGGATGGAAGGCTGAGTCAACCTTGAGCTGGTGAAATTTGAACTGTTGAACTGCAGCTANGAGTGAGCTCCCATTACTTGTCCCAGCTTCTGCCAAGCTAGCAGTTCGAAAGCATGTAAAAAATGCAAGTAGAAAAATAGGGACCACTTTGGTGGGAAGATAACACTGTTCCGTGCTCCTTCGGCGTTTAGTCATGCTGCCCACATGACCACGGAGATGCCTTCAGACAGTGCTGGCTCTTCTGCTTTGAAACGGAGATGAGCACCACCCCCTAGAGTTGGGAACAACTAGCACATATGTGCGAAGAGATGCTTTACCTTTTAAGTTCACTATTCAAAGTCTGAGACTCTTTAAATCTATGGCTCTGCTGTTCTCATAACCCCAGCTAGCAGCTGGAAGCTGATCTTTTGTAACCTGTCTCTTGATTCAATCAGTAGGAGAAACAGTCAGAAATCCAGTCAAGAAGAATCATAGATGGGAGGTACTGTGGAAACGGTTTTTGATTTCTGATCAAGAAACGATCAAATTACTGTATATAGCTTCTGGACTTCCTGGCAGAGAATAGCAGCAATGTTTCATTAAAGCACTGGTTTTAAAGATTAATTCTTAGCAAGGTTTATTTTAGCAACAGGACATCCTATCCCATACCTTGCTTGTGATGTGCTCTGTACTGTATCTCTTTAGAGCTGTCACCGCTGCAGCTGAGATGGTGGATGAGCCTTCCTCTGCATAATACAGGAAGGTAGAGATGAATTCTGGGAGCAGAGTACTTTTCAGAGATGCCAGGTGCATCATCTTCACTGAGTCTGTTTTGGAGCCATGAAGCTTTTTCAGGATGGCTTCCTTCGCAAGGCTGACTTCCTAGTTTATTTGAGAGATGGAAAGAACAAACCGAAAGAAGCGACATCGGTCAAAATTCAAATTGGCAATCCAAAGTGAAAAGGAGGAGCATACGGTATCAACTCACCTCCAGGTCACATTGATTCATCTGACACAATTTGCCCACCAGACTGCCAATGATCATGCTTCCCGTTTCCCAAGTGGCTTTATTTAGCTTTTTGTTGTTTAGTCTGTCCTATAAAAAAGATAGAGGAGAGACATGGCAGCAGATGTCTTTTCATTCAAAGGTGTATTAAAGAGGATTGTCATCTTGAAGGGAGTTGAACAATTGCAAAGAATTTAAGGGTGTGTTTTTTTTTGCACTGAGCATTTAATTGAGATGATGATACTTGCTGTACCAAAATTCTCCAGTCTGGATGCCCACCAGTAGTGTGAACGTCAATTTCCAGAAGGAGAGATGCCCAAGTTGGCAACATCTTGCTTATCTTGGCATGATTCCCAACTGCTGAGCACAGTTAAACCCAGGGGTGAAATGCTACTGGTTTGGACCGGTTCACCCAAACCAGTAGTAAAAAAAGCCGGTATTTCCAACAATAAACTCTGACGCACGATTTATATTAGCTAGAAAGCAAGATTTCCTGCTTTCTAGCTAATCTAAATCA